TGTTGACAGTCAGTCTTTTCTTTATTATAATATTGTCCACTGATTCAGTAGTGACCTTTCTTTTTCTTGGCGTTATCATGTAATCTATACTGAAAAATGTAGACCTTGATCTTCTGCAGCAAGTGCTTCAAGGTCTGCTCACTTTCAGCAAATAAGGTTGTGTCATTTGTATAACCTAGGTTATTGATGAATCTTTCTCCAATCCTGATGCCACATTCTTCTTCATAGTGTCTGGCTTCTTGAATAATTTATTCAGCATATAAATTGAATACTTTATTCTTATTTGCTGAAAGTTTTAGTAGCTAGAGTGTTCTTTGATAATTTTCTCCCTGGTTGATCCTAGTGGCATTGTTGTTGGGTACCATCGAGTCAGGTACATAGCAACCCTGTAAACAACAGATATGAACCCTGTCCTACCCTTTGCCATCCTCACAATCTCTGGTACAGTAGTGGAGTAGTATGTAATGTTGTTATTGTTGATTGCCTTCGAATCAAACACGACTCATATCAACCCTATGAACAAAAAAGTCTTGAAGCCCCTCTTAAAACTATTGACATTTATCAAAGTTCATAGGGTTTCTAGAGGCATGTTATTTAGGAAGTGGCTGCCACTCCTGCTTACAAAGTATGTGATAAATCAGGCATTAACTGAAAGATCGATGGTTATAGTCCACCAGTTGCTCCAAGGAAGAAAAACGAGCAGTTTTCTTCTGTACAGATGTGAAGCCTCAGAAACTCAGTGGAGGATCACTGTGATTTAGAATCAACTGAACAATAGCGAATGACTTTACCATCCTAGAGCACATTTTCAGGCCAGAAGTTCACTTAGGAGATATCAACCACAAGCTCATCTTTTGTAACAGAACACACAATGGAAGAATCACAGAATCTAAAATCAAACCAGCCTACTTCTATTCTGCTATCAGTGCCGTTGAAGGCCTTATGTCCTAGGCTTCATACTTTAACCCCTGAGTATCAACATCTTTATCTTGGAAATGAAACTACACCCTCGTAAATTTGGGCATAGATCAATTACAATGTGCGTATAATTACATAAAGGGCAGAATAGCTCATCACCTTCTCTCACTTCTTTCTAATTTCATCCTGTGTGTTTCTTTTCTATTATATGTAGTTATTACAGCACAGAATACCAGAAAAATGTCTATCTGTGTTTCATCGATTATGCAAAGGCGTTTAACTACGTGAATCATAACAAACTGTGGCTGACTCTGAGAAGAATGGGAATCCCAGAACATTTAATCGTGCTAATGCGAAACCTATACTTGGACCAAGAGGCAGTCATCAGAACAGAGCAAGGCAACACTAAATGGTTCAAAATTGGGAAGGGTGTGAGCCAGGGATGTGTCCTATCTCCATACCTTTTCAACCTGTATGCAGAGCAGATTATCTGAGAGGCTGGGCTCTATGAGGAGATGCATGGCGTTAGGATTGGTGGAAGATCTATCAACAATCTGCGTTATGCAGATGAAACAACCTTGCTCACTGAAACTGAAGAGGACCTCATGCACTTACTGCAGAAGGTCAAAGACTGCAGCCTTCAGTATGATTGAGGTTCAATACCAGGAAGACAAAGATTCTCACCACTGGACCAATTGGTAGCATCATGATGGATGGCGAAGAGATTGAGACTGTTCACAGCTTCAGTTTGCTCGGCTCCACAGTCAATACTCTTGGCACCAGTAGCCAGGAAATAAAAAAACATATTGCGATGGGAAAGTCTGCTGTTAGGGACCTCTCTAAAGTACTCAAGAGCAACGGTGTCTCTTTGGAGACGAAGGCGCGCCTGATACAGGCCATGGTCTTTGCAATCATTTGTTATGCATCAGAGAGCTGGACAATGACTAGGGAGGACAGAAGGAGAATTGACACCTTTGAACTGTGGTGCTGGAGAAGAGTATTGAATATACCATGGGCTGCCAAGAAAACAAACAGATTCATCCTAGAGAGGGTTAAACCAGGCTACTCCTTGGAGGCAAGGATTCTGGGGCTTCGTCTGACATATTTTGGACATGTTGTAAGGAGAGACAGGTCTTTGGAGAGGGACATCATGCTGGGTAGAGTAGAGGGACAGCGCAGGAGGGGGTAGACCCTCTGCGAGGTGGATTGATTCAGTGACTGGGGTAATTGGGATGGGAGTGTCAGAGACAGTGTGATTGGCACAGGATAGAGCAGGGTTTAGGGCTGTTGTACATAGGGTCGCTATGAGTTGCAAACAACTCGACGGCACATAACTAACAACACACTGGTTTATCTACAAAGTTCAAATACAACGTTTTTCACATCATATCTTTCCTATTTCTTTCATCCCTCACATCCGATCAAATTGTGCGACCCTATGATCAACACACACAAACCCTGCCCATCCTCACCCCTCTGCTCTACCCTCCTCCCCCTTGGATCTTCATACTCATTCTACAATAATGGTTTTATACAGTATTTGTCCTTATGGGACTGAGTTAGTTCACTCAGTATAATGCCCTCCAATCATTCACAAGTTAGGTAGTAACAAAACCATTGTTCCTGCATGCTCCATAGTATTCCACTGTGTGAATGTAGCATAATTTCTCAATTCATTTGATTGTGATTGACCGTCTGGGCTGTTTCCATATTCTTGCAATGGTGAATAACACTGCTATGAACATTGGTATACAAGTCTCACTTTGTGCCTCAGTTCTCATTTTCTCAGGGTATATTCTAAGCAGTGACATAGCTGGGTAATGCAGAATTTCTGTGTTCAGCTTTTTGAGGAAGCACCAAACTGCTTTCCAAGGTGGTTGTACCATTTTACAATCCCACCAACAATGTAGAAGCGTTTCTATCCCACTACAGCCTCTCCAACATTTATTTCTTGCTGTCCTGTTAAACTTTGCCATAGCTATGAGTGAGGTGGTATCTCATTATGGTTTTGTTTTGTATCTCTTTTACTGTCAATGAATTTTGAGCATTTCTTAATGTGTCTATTAGCCATTCTAATATCTTCCTCTGTGAAAATTCTTTCCATGTATTTTGCTTATTTTGTAATTAAGTTATCAGTCTTTTTCGGGGGAGGCCCAGGAATATTCTGTAACCTTTTGTTATGAGACTTTTCTCTGAGATGGTATTACCAAATGTTTGCTTCCAGTCTGTAGATTTTCTTTTTACCATGTCGAAAAAAGTTTTTGATAAGTACAGGGATTTAATCTTTAGAAGGTCCCATTCATCAATTTTATCTCTTCAGTTTGTGCATTCCTGGCTGTATTTGACAGTCTCTTTTTTAGTATAGACTAGATTATCCATGGTGGGCAGTGTTTGGTGGAGCTCCCCAATTAAAATAAGCTTGAAAGTAGGAGTGGCATCTGTTTCTGAAATAGCTTGCCTCCGGAAACTCTATGAACTTGGAGAAATGATGAAAGTTACACAAGTGTTCAGGTCTTTTATTCATAAATCGTCTTCAACTCAACGGCACTTAACAACAAACAACAGGCCTTCTAAGCATGATCCCAATTTGTCTCTTATGAACTTTATGGTTTGGGGCTTTACTCTCAGGTGTCTGATCCATCTTGAGTCGATTTTGATCTATGGTGTAAGATGTAGATCCTGTTTCACGTTTCTGCAAGTGGAAGTCCAGTTTTCCAGCACCATTTGTTGAAGAGGTTGTCGTTTCCCCATTTGATAGCTTTAACTTCCTTGTTGAGTATCAGTTAACCTTAGATATCTGGGTCTATTTCTGGGTTCTCAATTCTGTTCTATTGGTCTATGTGCCTGTCATTGTACGAGTACCATGCTGTTTGTTTACTACTGCTGTGTAGTAGGTTTTGAGGTCAGGGAATGTTCTGCCTCCCACTTTATTTTTGTTTCTCAGAAGTGTTTTGCTTATTCAGAGTCTCTTTTCTCTCCAAATAAACTTGACAATTTCCCTTTTGATCTTCTTGAAAAACTAATTTGGTATCTGGATTGGGATTGCATTGAACGTAGATTGCTTTTGTAGGATTGCCATTTTCATGATCCTGAGTCTTCCTATTTATGCACAGGGCACATTTTTTCATTTCTTTAGGTCTTTATTCTTTCTTGCAGAAATGTTCTGTCATTTTCTTTGTATAGGGCTTTTGTATTTCTAATTAGTTTCACTCTCAAGTATCTCAATTTGTGGTTGGCTATTATAAATGGTATTGCTGTCTTGATTGCCGTCTCAGAATTCTCTTTGTTACTGTAAAGGAATTCCACTAATTTTTAAAATATTGATCTTATATCCCACCACTCTAATAAATTGGCCTAATAACTCTTAACAGTTTTTTTGCCAGTTCTACTTTTTTTGTTCTACCAGCATGTTAGATACTTCCGCATTTTGCTCTTAATATTCTGAATCACATTTTCATGTTCTTCTGTTATTTCCACTACTATGTTGGCTGTACCCTCGCTGTCTTGTGATGGTTTTATAAGTTCTTGAACCTCTTTATTTATATTATTAATTCTTTCTTCCATCTTTTGCATTTTCTAACATAGCTGTTCATCAATTTATTTCTTCTGGAATATTATCTCTGGGTTATTTGCTTTCTTAATTGTTTCTTCCATCATTTGCATCTTCTTCTGTAGCTGTCCAAATAACTCCACATCAACATATTTCTTCTGGTTCTCTATATCTTGGGTATTCATTGGGTCTGCTTTTTTAGGAGAAAGGTTATTTTGGGGTTTTTTTGTTTTGTTTTGTTTTGTTTTGTTTTGGGGTTTTTTTTGCATAGCACAAGTTTTCATTTAGGAAAACTGGGTTTAAATTTCCCTTAAAGAGTTATGGTTTAAGTTAAAGACAAATGAGTTTATTAAACTAACAAGTTGGTGTTCAATTTGGGTTTTTTTTTTATGTTAAGTGAGGCAGACTGCTTCTTTCTTTACAATATGTGAGTCTTTTCTGTGTAGATGTTAGGTCATTGTAACTATATGGTGACACAGAGTATGACAATGTTTTGTGAAGGACCTGTGTATTTATGCTCCCTTCTTGCTAGTCAGTAGTGCTTCCCCCAAGTACCTGAATGGGAAACCAGGAAGCCTATTATTCTCTACCAGAACTGGCATCACCACCTCTCTCAAGCTGCTCAAGCTGTCCTGCTCCCTTCTGCTTGAGCTTAAGGGGTCCTGTGTGGTGTAGCCAAACAGCAGTATTTTCCTCAAAGCACTGTGGACGCCATGCCTCTTCCTGGCATGTAATGCTTTGTCCTGCTGTCCCTGTGTCTTTCTTAAGCTGATCATATCAGTTTCTTTTTTGGAATGCAGCAGGAGAGACATAATAAACTAAAGAGAAAATAAAAAACTAGTTGACATCATGCTGAGTGAAATAACTCCATCACAAAAGGACAAATAGTGTATAAGATCGTTACTGTGAAAATAGAAGAGTAACTGAGGCAGTGGCAGAGATCTGGAGAAAAGAGAGTGTACAGACAATGAACACTGTAAAGTATCAGAACAAGAGAGAATCAACCAGGGAAGAACTGATGAAAGAATAATCTGGCTACTGCAATTAGCAAATAGGAACAGGGTATTTACATTCAGAAGGGAAAGGGACAGAGAAGAAGGGAGGTGGAAGAAGGTAGAGGGGGCAAATATGATTAATTTTAAAAAAATAAACTAGTTTCCACTGAATTGTTTCTAACACATGACAACCCCTTTTTGTGCAGAATAGAACTTCTCCACACAGGTTTTTTAGGCTGAGAAAAATTTCAGAAGCAATTAACCAGGCCTATTTTTCAAGACACCTGTGAATGGGTTTAAAATGTTGGTACCTTTTGATTAATAATTGAGCACTTAGCCATGTTCACCACCCAGGGACTCTATGACATAAAGGAATACAAAATTTCAGAAGTTTGCTCACCCTTCAAAACTCGGGTTGTGTTACCTGCCTGAAGAAATCTTTAACTGCCCTCTGTCAAGTCTCATTGAGATGACTGCTGTGTATTTATGTATCAACAGTGCATTCTTATAAGTATTTGCTTCATTGGCCATTCTTTCCATTCTCCTTCCCCAGGAGAAAGGACCATGTCTAATTTCCCTTGCCATAAGCAAATCTCTGAACAGTGCCTGACACATATCTATTAACCTATTGTCATATGACAGGATAGCACTGGCCCATTATCTTATATAGGTTGTAAGAGAGGACCCAAGAGGAGACAGATTGACACAGTAACTGGGGTAATGGGGGTAGGTGTGTCAGATACAGTGAGACTGGCTCAGGATAGGGCCGAGTTCAGAGCTATTGTACATAGGGTCTCTATGAGTCATAGGCAACTCGATAGCACATAATGACAACAACAACACAGTATTTACACAAAGTAGAACTGGTAGTTCAAGGGCCAAGCATTAAGCTGCTAATAGAAGTATCAGTGACCTAAAGCTACCAGCCATTTCACAAAAGAATGTTGTTGTTGTTGTTTTTGGGCACTGCTGAGTTGAATACAACTCATGAACAACACACCTGAATCTTGTCCTATCCCGTATACCATTCTCACCATCTCTGACACTCTTGAGCTCATTCCTGTGGTCATTATGTATATCCATCTCATTGACGGTCTTACTCTCTTTCACCAACCTTTCCAAATATTCCCCTTTCCAAGGAATAACCTCTTCAACCAACATGTCCAAATCTTTGCCCTCAAGGAACACCATTGTTGCACCATTTCCAAGGCAAACCTGTTTGTTCTTTTGGCAGTCCATGAGATATTTGCTACTCTTCACCAACACCACAAGTCAAAGGCATTGATTCTTCCTCTGTTATTCTTATCGTTTGTCTAGCCCCCAGACAAATAGGAAGTGACTGAAAAGACCATGTCCTGAATTACGTGCACCTTATTCTTTATATTAACATCATTGCTCTTTAGTATTTTAAAGATATCCCTGACATCAGACTTTCCCAATGCAGTCCATCTCCTTGTCTCCTGACCATTGATACCAAGAGTACAATTGTGGATCCAAGTAAGATAAAATCATTGACAGTTTCAATCATTCCTCTATCTATCATAATGTTGCCAACTGGCCCAGTGATGAGGATTTTTTTGTCTTCTTGATGTTAAGATGTAATTCATATTGAAGGCTGTAATCTTTGCTTCAAGTCCTCCTCACTTTCAGCAAGCAAAATTGTGTCATCTGCATAATGCAGGTTGTTGATGTGTCTTCTTCTGATCCTAATGCCACTGTTCTTCATAGATTCTGGCTTCACAAATTATTTGCTTAGCATACAGACTGAATAGATACAGAGAAAGAATACAGCCCTGATGCGTACCCTTCCTGATGCTAAACCCTGTAGTGTTTCTTTGGTCCACAATAACCATTTATACAGCTTAAAAAAGGCACTCTACTCTCTCCTGTAGGGTCACTATGAATCAGAATTTATTTGATAGTAATTAGTTTGCTTTTTGCTTTTTTGTTTTGTTTTGGCATATGTAGGTACCTAATAAATATTTATTGAAAGAATTAATAAATGGCCACTCATAGATCCTGCTTCTTATACTCTAATTAAATACTTGCACAGGCAATTGCCTAGGACAATTTTTTTTTTAATCCCAGAAGGGTTCCCCACCCTCCTAGCAGGGGAAGATATGTTTCAGGCTGATATCTATGTTCTTATTTATGCCATTCTCTCACACAAAGCCCACCTTTCCTATTCACCCAAGCCAGCTCTGATTTCCAAGCCACTGAAAGCCTCTTTTTTAATGAATCCTTTTGCAAGTTGCTGTAGCCTGTTGTGATCTTTCATCCTTTGAATTCCTTAAATATCTAAGGTCTATGTCATCAATACGACAATCACTGTATACTGCCAAGTTCCTCCTCTTACATTATTCTAAGCAGCTGTCATGTCTTATTCATTATGGCCTTTCCTGCAGTGTTTTGCATGCATGAGCCAAAACATGGTTTTTAATTGAGCTGGAAACAAAGAGATGCCTTTTGGGGAGTATATTCCGTGTGCCCCTCCCTCTAACTACACTTTGACTTTCTCAGCTCTTTATCCCAGGGAAGGTACTCTTCAAATGTTACAAATTTATCTTCAGGGCTAATTGTCTTCTGCTTTCCATTTGTGTTTAGTCAGTAGATCAGTGAATAGAAGGATAGAGTGATAAGTCCTTCCCTGCATGGCTGGTTCTGGGCTGGTCCTCTTCTTTAGTTATCTAGTGCTGCCATACCAGAAATACGGCTAGTGCATGACTTTAACAAGTTGAATTTATTTTCTGATTTTTTTATTGTTAGGTATCATCAAGTTGACTACAACTCATAGCAACGCTATAGACCACAGATTTGAGTCTTGTCCTATCCTTTGTGTACCAGCCTCAAGATCTCCATTGTGCTCAAGCCCATTGCTGTAGTCGCTGTATCAATCCATCTTGTTGAGTTTTCCTCTCTTTCTCTGACTCTCTACCTTTCCCAGAATGATGTCTTTTTCTAAGAACTGAACCCTCTTGAAAATAGACCCAAAGTAAGTGAGATAATGTTTCACTATTCTTGATTCCAAGAAACACTATGGTTGTACTCCCTCCAAGACATATTTGTCTGTTCTTTGACAGTCCAGGGGTTATTCACTACTCTTCTCCAACACCACAATTCAAAGGCGTCCATTCTTCCTCTGTCATTCTTATTAATTCTCCAACTTTCAGATTCATTGAAAATATTATGGCTTGAATCAGGTACACTTTTGTTTTAAATTGACCTAATTGATCACCATGATAGATGGAGAAGAAATTGAGGTTGCTAAAAATTACAATTTGCCCAGTTCCACTGTCAACACTCTTGGCACCAGCAGTCAAGAAATCAAAAGACAAATTGCATTTGGAAAATCTACTATCAGGGACCTCTCCAGAGTCCTAAAAAGTGATGATGTCATTCTAGAGACTAAGGTATGCCTAATTTAGCCTTTAGTCTTCACAATTCCTTACAATGACAATGACTAAGGATGATAGAAGAAGAATGAAGGCCTTTGAGTTGTGATGCTGAAGAAGAGTCTTGAAAATATCATAGGTGACCAGGAAAACAAATAGACCTGTCTTGGAGAGGATGAAACCAAGTTTCTCCTTGGAGGATAGGATTTTGAAGCTCCATCTCACATACTTTGGTCATGGGACGAGGAGGGACCAGTCCTTCAAGAAGGACATTATGCTCAGAAGGGTGGAGGGATAGCACAGGAGAGAAAGACCCCAGATAGATGGACTGATATAGTAATGAGGGTATTGAGGGTTATTGTGTAGGAATTAGTGAGACTGGCTCAGGACAGGGCAGGCTTTAGGATTGCTATGAGTTGCAGACAACTCAGTGGTACGTGATGACAACAACAACAACAACAATTGATCTTTAGCACTTTGGAGACGTCCTTGAAAACAGATTTTCCCAACGTAACACATTTCTTGATTTCTTGACTGCTAAAGATTTAAGTTGTCAATTATTTCATTTTACTTGGATCCACAAGCAACACCCATGGTAATAACAGTCAAGTTCATGACTTAGGAGGCTCCAAGTACAAATTCAGGGTCCTGGCTTTGGGGCAAGGCTCTCTCTCTTTTGGGTCTGAAGGAAGGTTTTTGCCTCCTTTTAACAGCTCCTGGCCCAACCTTCTTTGAATCTTTGTGTTTCAGCCTTCCCTTATATAAATCAAAGAGGTTCCCAGTATAGGAACCTGGTCCAAAGGACAACTCACTCCATTCCTAACTTTTTTGTTTATTACTGAAGTGTCTCTCTCTCTCTTCTGATTTTTCTCTTCTTAGGTCTCTAGTAAGAGAAAAGAAGTGTAGGCCAGATCCCAGGTAAAGTGCCTTTGCACTGGATCATGGCTATAATGTTGTTGTTGTTGTTGTTGTTGTTGTTATGTGCCATCAAGTGAGACTGAGAATATTTTCTCCACCCTTTATCATCTTATAATTGATTAATGTCAGATCATAGAGGATTATTATAAAACAGCCACATTACATCATTGTTGCTGTTGTGTAAATAAAACAGCCACATTACATCGTTGTTGCTGTTGTGTACCATAGAGTTGGAAACGACCCAGAGCTGACCCTCCAGCAGGTTTTCAGAAGCAGTTAATTGCACAGGAGGAGATTGCCCATCCTTCTCCTGTGGAGCAGTTTTTGGCCTCAAACCACATGGCTTTGGAATTTGCAGCACAGAAAAATA